TAAGCAAGTGCCTTCTCTTCTTTAGCTATTGCCTTATCTTCTCTCAATTCTTCAGATGTAGATTCTTCTCAAGAAGTGTAGTAAGTTCTTTTGACTTTTACATGCAATCAACTCAACATAATAATGTACAAACTATCGGATTAATTCTTTTTTGTGAAAGTTAAAACTTAAGCTTGGAATATGGAAAGGCTATTCTGCAAGCCAAGAGGCACTAGTGCAACTTTAATGACCCATTATTTCAATTCAATGGTTGCAACTTTAATGACCCATTTTAGTATCAATTCAATCGTTGTAACCATTAGCTTAATTATTGCAACGTTTTAAATTCTCCAAGTTGGAACACAGAAAATAAGACATTTAAACTTAATAAAAAATTAGAGGAAAAGCCCAAAAAAGGAGAAAAAGATAAGTGAGTTTCTTGAGGTGTCACCTCACTTTTTTATTACTCTCTTTTATATATATATAGATATAGATCTGACAAAATGAGAAACAAAAGGACAGAGAAGGGCATAGCAACAAGAATTCACTAAGACAAAACTAAAGTTCTACGGTCTTCAAGATGACTATGTGCTAGAAAGATCCAGTTGTTTTAGCAATAATAATAATAATAATAATAATAATAATAATAATAATTTCTAAGTTAAGATAAATATATCACATCATCTTGTGCCGTAGAAATACAAAAGATCGTTCTATTTGTGCAGAGACAAAAATGTGAAAAGCTATAGCATTCACTTTCCTTAAAAGGAACAAGTGTTTGCAACCAAAATCGTTTAACTAATGAAAAACGTCACATTGTGTCTCTTATGTCACCCTAAACTTCATCTGATTAAATTTTCTTCACTCAAGCATCTCAAAGTTTTTTCTTAAAGACAACTCAGTTGAGCCACCAATCTTTGAAGTGAAATATCAAGCACAACCTATAAATAAACCAAGAATAGCATACTCAGTAGATGGAAAGCAATTTATCCTACAATATAGTTATCATGGCTAACCTTTAAAAGGAATCGAGAGGACCCAAATGACAAAGAAACAAAAGGAATGAGATATATACTGGTCATAATTATGAAAATAGGTGCAGATAAAACTTATGAATATGTATATAGCACCGGATGAGACAATAGAAGATTGATCTTCACATATGTCAAGATGTACAACAACAACAACAACAACAACCCAGTGTAAATCCCACAAGTGGGGTCTGGGGAGGGTAATATGTACGCAGACCTTACCTCTACCCCGAGGGGCAGAGAGGCTGTTTCCAGAAGACCCTCAGCTCAAAGAGGCGACAAGAGACACTATATTAGTACTATCAATAGACTCATAATAAAACAACATAAAATACCATATGTCAAGATGTACCATTTACCAAAATTCACTTAGAAACAGAATCAAGCACTCAGAAGAACCATGTTTTTCCAAGAAAATGAAAATTTTAAAATTCCTCTTTCCTGTGGCCTTACAAATAAAACTTTTAAATTCTCATAAGAGCTTAGTTTCTCATTTGAAGTATAGCTTACATCTTAACTCCAAAGTTATCAACAAACAAAAGTATTGTCACACACATTTTTATAAGTTAGTCAAAAGTTCTTCTTAATGTTTAACTCTCCTTGAGCCCTCGCTTGGCTCGATCAGAAGTTTCTAAATTCTATTAACTTATTTTTGATTATGGCTTTTGTTCTTGCTCAGAAGGCCCTAAGCAATCCTTACCCCAAAACACAAATGTAGGCGTTCAACTCTTTCTTGAAGAGGCATACCTAATTTCCATCACAGACTTTATAAATAACTCCGATTGTTACCTATCATGATATTGTAGGAAGACAACTTACATTTATTACTTTTAGAAAAAGCTCCACCAACGTGTTATTTTAACTTTATCCATATCAATTGATCCACAAAAGTTAGTGCATCTATGTGCATCAGCAATTGAAATACAGAAAGTGATGATATTAATCTCAGAATAAAAACCTTGAAATTCTATTGACTGACCTGGGATTTTTAGTTCATATAGACCAGGCACGCATTTCCATCATTGCACACCTAAAAATTTAGAATGGATCAGAAAGAAAAATCAGCTAGTAGAGAATTGAATGATTTTTAATAACAATAGTTACTAAAAATAGTTCTTGCATTTAAATGAATATTAACCTTTTCTTCTTAGTTGCAGAAATTCACCCCAAAGGGAGAATCGTGTTCATAGGGAAAGCACAAGAAGTGTGACTTCTATCATGCTTTTTCCACATGAACTTACAGATGCATTCCTTATAATTGCCACCACTGTAACTGTCAACCGTCCACTTTGCCAAATTCTATGACCTCTGCAATATTTTCCTTAAAATTCTTTGGAAAATGTTTCAGTTGAATTAAAAAGAATCATAGGAAGATATTCTGGTTGATATCTTTTGGAGAAAGATCTCAGTTGATGAGTCTTACGTTTGACATATTATTTGACTCTAAGATCTATTTCAAATGGATTAAGAACATATTTTATTCTTCCCACGTATCATTCTCCTCTTTAACTATTCTAATTACTCTATAATTTTACTGGTAAGTTATTCCTTTTTTTGTAATTCAGATAGCGAATTAGAATTATACGACGTGCCAAAGAAAATAAAGGAAAAGTAAAATATGTCAATACTTGTGCTTTCAATTACATCTGAAATGAATTAAACAAATTCTACTATAAGATGGTTGCTCAAAGTTAACAGGTTGATCTATTCATATATATTTGCTTGAAGTCAGAAAATACTTTTCTAGTTAGTTAGTAGTGAATTTTTAAGCATATGCAATCTAAATGCGGACATACATAATAGAATCCTTCTTCAAAGGCATTCCTGATGTTGCTCCTGCTGCGATTGGTCAGCCATATCTAGTTTTCATGATGTTTTATTGATTAATTTTCGATGCTTTTTAAGCTTTTATTGTTCAGCTAGTCACAATGAAGTTTCTAGCAAAACAATAATGCCGTGGGAGTTTTTAGTCTCATAACCTTCTACACATTCTTCCTGCTGCCTTAGCTGAAAATACACCACCACCACCACCACCACCACCACCCCTTTATTTTTTCCGGTAAACTCTAAAGTGATTCAAAAACTAATTACCAAGTTATCACCTTTATGATGTTAAATTCCCATACTCCACATCGATTATATTGACAACGAAAGCACATTATAAAATGTTTTAATAGTTGAAATAACAAATAAAGGAAGTAAAGTAAAAACTTGTCATTTCGGATCAACGAATCAATTTCAACCCTCATTCAAGAGGAGGTTTTGAAGATAAAATAAAAGAGAAATAATGGAAAAGAAAAAACTCGGTCAGGGAAAGAACAAGACTATAAGAGCATAGATGAGGAACCAATGCGCAAAGCAGTCGGGCAATGTAGACAAATCTAAAAAAGGGGGTTATACATCAAAATTTCAATCAGCGATTATCAAAAATTTCACCAGTTATATACCTCAAAAGAAATCAAAATTTCAAAGGGGTTACACCTCAAAATTAGCAGAGAATCAATCTTTAACTAATTAATATAATAAATAAAGAAAATAAATGAAAATACAGAAACAATTTAAAAATAGCAATTTAAGGGGTTATACCTCAATATTCCAATTCAGAAGTTTGAAAGCTCCAAGAGTGCTCTATCCGGCAAGAATCATGTGAGCGTTTTCTTCGATCGGCACAGATATTACAGTAGCACACAACTTTATCCCAAATTGTGAAACACAGTTGCATTCGAAATCTGATTTCATCTCAATTCATTAAACCACCTATATCAAGAGTACAATCTGTCACCAATTCCACCACCTTGAGTCGAATTTCGATCTTCTATTTTATATTTATTTAA